TATGTCCTCTGTATTGCAAGCTTTAACGTTTTTGCTGCATCGGCTACCGCCTCATAGAAGAAACGTTTCCCCTCTGAGAGAGAATCTGTCCTTAGGTTTCACTGGCCAGTGCTGTATGCTGGCCTCATTGAAAAAATCTGCCGTATTTCGCCTCCAACACAAAGAGCACGTGGGCTAGAGCGAAATGCTTTTGCTCAACCAGTTTCTGCAGCAGCGTCAACCTCTTTTTGTTAATCTTCGCATTAAACTAAGTCATCTGTGCCTGGACAAAGGGAGTTAGCACTTGCTTCGTCCTATCATTTAACCTTCGCTAGGCCGAAGCCAACACTGCTGCATGCAGCCGTCGTTTTGCCTCTATTTTAGAACATGTATTTGCCTCTTATGCCGCAGAACAAAACTAACCAAACCGAGGCAAGGTACAAACAGAATTTGGTGAAAAGTTGTTCCTCTCTCAGCCTGATCATTCTGCGACAAAAAAATGCACAGCAATCAGTGGCGATCCTCGCGCGTAAGTCGTTGGATTGCGCCATCAGTGAAAACGATACAGCTGGACATCTCAATCGATCGACTTTCTCGATCGTTTCCCCTCGCTGTTCTACTAGTCGACCAGTTCCTCATAACTGAGAACTTCCTGGCACTAAGGAACAGGCCAGCCATCGCAGCTATGGGCAAAAAAGAAACTGTCACGTGATTAAAACCGCTTCTCGTGCTGCTTACCCGAACAATACCATATGAGTACCTAAGTTCAGTAAGACAACGCACCGGGTATCTTGAACTGCGCCTTCACCCTACAATGATACCTTCGTCACTGCCAGCGTCAGAACCGTATTGAAGAAGAAAGTCGAGCAAAGGCGAAAACATGTCTCCCAGGCGAACTCCATAGTCAATAAAGATCCACTAATACAGCTATCCTTTGACTTACGCTGCAAATATGGTTCCTACATATGTCACTTCCAAAATGGAACCAGTGCGTTCAGGTATCCAATCACATTTTAAGATTCTGTACATCGTGGGACGATGAACTAAATCAGATACAGCCTTGAAATAGAGAGCAGCAGCAAGCCACGGCATGCTGTACAGTCAGAGAAAGTGATTTTTTCGTAAAAGAAGGCATATCCCGTCCGGTAGACTGCGTGATTTGGGCAGTCTATTCTGAACGGTTTGTCTCATCCCTAGCGGAATAACCAAGGAGAATAGTTTCCCAACAGTTGACAATTCACTGTTTACGTAAACGTTGATATTATTTGATTACAGTGCAATCAAATAAATAAATACAACCACCGAATCTTCTGTAGAATCTTAATTTTTGATTTAACAGTTCAGTAGCGTTTCAAACAATTAAACATGTAACGTCTATCACAAAAGATGCTACATTGTTCCCATCTTTATCGCTGGACGGTATTCGAACGCACATTGAAAACATATTGCGTAAAGTTTTTATGAGTCTGGAATCATTCGCAATTTGTTACATGGAAAACAATGGAAATTTAACTTTCGTTAAACGAGTTTGCATCTTACACGTGAGATGTCATTAAATAAATCATATTTGTAAATCGAGGAATAGATGCGTAATAAGTAATAGTATAAACTAAGAATGCAAAGAACCTTGCGGATGTTATAAAAGTCACGATGCGAAACACTCTTCTGTTCGCTCATTTCGCGGATGTCATTCAGCAGCACGTGAAGCTGAAATTTCAGCTGCAAGTAGTTCAAACGCCGGTGGCAGAACGTCGTCCTAAAAGCAAATGACGATAAGAAACAGGATTCGTGACTTCTAAAACTCATACCACATCGTGTAGAAGATGACCGACAGCGAGAGCATGTGCTGAATCCATA